TGATATCTGTAGAAAGAAGACTGAAAGTAATACATGTTTTTCATATTAGCTTTTACATAACTGTTATCCATCTATATAACAATTTCAACCGTTTCTAAATAATAATGCACTTTTAACCATATGTGTTCCATTTTTCATAATACGGCTAAACCCACACTGCTTCACTGCAAATACATTTTTTTTTAAACACACACACACACACACACACACACACACACACACACACACACACACACACACACACACACACACACACACACACACACACACACACACACACACACCTGTAGGGCTTAAGAGTATGCATGTGCATTGTCATGCACTTGTTGCAGTGCTCTTCTCCCGCTCTTCCATTTTAATGTTTGAAGGTGCATCATCCCTCCCATTACCATGGGTAAGTGGCCAGAAGTAGTTGATATTACATTATATATTGTCAGTGCAGCTACAATAAAGATACCTTGTAGGGTAATTCAGCCACCATGAATAGATGCTTTTCGTATCAGTCTGAGGGAAGATAAAAACATAGTCTTTGTAAAGAAACATTTCAGTCACACAGGGAGAACTCCTTAAGTCATTTGAAACTGTTTTGTCATCATTATCAGTGATGCTATCATTATTACTCTCTTCCTTAACCCGATGAAATAAAATTAGCCGCAATTTCCTGTGAAAGACAACATCTTTGCACCAAATGGGAAATGTGTCATAACCCCCGTGGCTAAGCACAATTGTTGAACACACAGTGAAAAATTGAAAGATAAATTCATAAATAGTCAACTGCATTTTAAATCCACTTCAACCTCAGCTCTTTCCCCCCCCAGTCTGCTTCCTCTCATGCAGGTAGCTCTGCAGTGTGTGTGCTTATGTGTATGAGATAGAGGGGGCGAGAAACACTCATAACTTATTTTGTTGTCTTAAGTTTGTGTGTGTGTGTGTGTGTGTGCGTGCGTGCGTGCGTGCGTGCGTGCGTGCGTGTGTGCAATGTCTCATATCTGCCAGGAGTTTTCTATGCCTGCCTGCATGTGTGTACAGTATGTATATGTTCAGAAAAATCATGTTATTCTTTATGCCACTTAGATTGCCTGAGAAACAAGGTAGCCTTTATCCATACACACACACACACACACACACACACACACACACACACCACTCAGACGCTTGCCAAAGTTATGAGCTCCTGCCATGTGTGTATATGAGTGTGTGTGAGTAGGTGTGTTTGCGTGTGTGTGTGTATCTTGTGGTCTTGCGGTTTGTTGACATAGCCTAGAACGCAGTGCTCTCATTGAGAGGCTGCATTTTACTATTAGAAGAGATATTGCTTTGTGTGTGGAGTGGACACACCCTTCCACACACAGACTGTATATTGATTGAGAAAAAGTAACAGGCCTTTCATTGATAGAGGTTTACTTCTGTGTGGCAGAGAGTATGCTACATTCACTCTCTTGTTCTTGCTAATAGGCTCTTATTACATTACAAGCATGGGCCACCAAGGAGGCTGGCCACACATACAGAGTTCTTTATCTACAGTTGGGTGGACTATTGATAGAGAACATTTTAAATGTAATTGGGTTTTCTATATAAGATTGTTTTGTCAGTGCGAAAGAGGATAACAGCCAGTTGACTATATAAATCCATGTAAACAGAGGCTATTTTAGCAAGAAAGCTATATCTGCTGTGCTTCTTCCTACCTGTCAGTCACTCATTATGTATGCACATATCCCTGTTTGTCTGGCTTTCCTGTTAGTCTTTTGGTTCTCTGTCTTACTGTCTGATTGTCTGAATCTGCTGTGAGATAACCTCTGTCCATCACATGCCTATTGATTAGACGCATCTATACACATGCTTGATCTCCATAACTCATGTATTGATTAAGCTTCACTAAGCAAAGAGTGCCTTCCCATCAATTTGATTAATACTACACACACAACGCCTATTACCTGGCATGATGCACTCAACCCAGTCTCGCTTGATTCACTGGATATTCAGATGTGTTTTCTGCATATACCAGCATAAATTAACCTGTGTAAATTAGTGATTAGATTGTAATGCCCCTATTATTATGAACTCTAAATTACTAGTTAAACTAGGGATGTACTTTAATGAATTTTTGGCAATATGCATATCTTTTTCATTTTGGCCAATTGACCATGCTAATACTGATATATGCACTTTTTTTCCAAACTAATTGTTGAAAACAAGTCTCTCCCGCGGTGGGATTACCATATTATTACGCCTACTGTTACTATGTAAGTCCACTGGCAGATACAATGTTTCTCAAAATGAACACATTCACTGCGGGACACGTAAACAATATATTTTTGTGTACCATATGGGACAGTCATATCAAAGGAAATGTTTCATTCTCGGCTTTATCTGCTGATACTGATGATGCGCTGATATCGTTGTGCGTCCCTAACTATTATGTTTTTTTGTTTTTGTTAAATCAGTCGGAGGAAAATGCAGTCGCAAATGTGGAGTACTTTCTAGGATATCATTCTTTGAGAAGATGGGAAATGTATCAGCTCTGTTTTTGAGATGCAGAAGCACTTGCTAATATCAGTCATTGATAGGAAAGCAGTTTACAAGAAAATATTTCATGTTATTTTGAGGGAGGAGTAAGCAGAGGATAACATCAAATCCTACAAAAGTTACATGTTTCATTCTTGGAGTGATATGTTCTTTACTGTCTAATAAAAGTAAAAAAAAAGCCTGAAATTATGTTTACATGTACACTGAGTTTGCTGAAACAGAAAAAGATGAGGTGCTACATAGATACCTGGCCTTAGAGTTACAGAAGAGATGTGCCTGTTGAAAGCAGAAAGACAATTACAGTTATCAAGTGAGTTGGCACAAGCTACCACAGATGTTTTGTTGAAGTACCAAGCTGCAGACACACACATCTACACTGACAATTACCTCACAACGTCACACTCATTTTGGTCACAAGGCCCCAAGTAAAGCCAGATAAGGAAAACTATTTTATACGTAATGACCTTATTGTTAGATTATGTGCTTTATATATATATGTTGTGGAAAAGAAACGGAATAAATATATTCAAGGAGGTTAAATGAGCTTTAGACACAGATGTGTATCGGGGCGTGTGCGTGTGTTTTGCTTGTTAACTCTGATATTTAGAGCAAAAGTCGAAGCAGGAGATTTCGAGCAGCTTTGCTCTGTGCGAGTGGCTCCAATTAGTCTGGAAAAACACATGCACAACTAAACACAACACGTACCTGTACATGCACATGCATTCATGCACAGATAACTGCCCAAACAAATTGGACAAATATCCGGATTTTTGCACACAAGAAAGAACACTAGGGTGAGCAACTCTGGTAGACACATTTACAAACAACTTGACCAGCCAAACAAATGCAGAGAGACAGAGGGCAACACACATTAGACACACATAAGGACAAAAAATAAGTGCATTATGGCATTTATTTGTTATTTTTCTATGTAGCTATTATTTCCAAACTGACAAAGAAAAATGTTTATACTGTAGCTTTGGTTGTCTAGACTCTACGTCTATCCTAGTAGGGACCCACACCTGTGAATGTGGTGAAAGGAGAACCGTTGTAGTTTTGGGAGTGTTTAAAAGCTATTTGATGTGTTGCACAGGTGAAAGTGCCTTGGTAGAGTTCGCCAAAATGTTTTGTCAACAAATAAATGCAGCAGAAATAGAAAGGCTGGCACTTTTCACAAACTGTGACCAATCTTCTAATACTCTAAACCACTTACACATGATCCTTCACTTTGGGCAGCCTCTAAAGTCCATTACTTCAGCCAGTTGACCTGTACACAAAAGGGGTCTATTTTTGTGGTGGTGAAATGACCAGCAGTGCCCCGACTGTTTGGTATCTACCAGAGCATGAAATTCTTCTGAAACTGTTATCAGAGAACAAGGTCCTAAGCCTGAACCTGCAAAAGTGCAGCTTATTGACAGTGAGCTGAATCAGGACCAGGTCATTTGAGGGTGAACCCCATGAACTAGTCTAAATTAAAGAGATATATATACTTCACAAAAAATGACTTTTGATACTGTTTCTTCGTACAGGACACATGTTGTTCATCCTCAGCTTATGATTAAAACTTAAACGTTTCTAAGGAACCAAACCCAGTAATCACAAATCTGTTAATAAGTCATGTTTAACTGGATGAAAGTGTTACCTAAAAAAAACAGAATTCTTGATAATTTGAACCTTGAACAAGGAATGTTAGAGGTCACATTTACCTTTGAATAGTTTGTCACTGTAATTACCTCAGTACATAAATGCTGTAACTTCTCAGCTCTAGAAATTCAAAAGATGTACCTGTGCTTTAAAGAAAGCTGTCTTTCATATTTACAGTATTTATTGCACCAAGATGCTTTACACATGATTCAAAGGTGCAAGGACACAAGATGCACTCAACCAACACAATGTCAAAATTCAAGCTGAGAAAGAAAGGAGAGAAAAAGATAGAGTGAGTAGGTCAGTGGTTTTCATTTCTGTGTTAAAGGCCTTTTCTTGCTGCCAGCTGCTGTGACACTTTTACCCTTTACACCCAAAGGACCTACTGTGTGTGTGTGTGTGTGTGTGTGTGTGTGTGTGTGTGTGTGTGTGTGTGTGTGTGTGTGTGTGTGTGTGTGTGTGTGTGTGTGTGTGTGTGTGTGTGTGTGTGTGTGTGTGTGTGTGTGTGTGTGTGTTCTTGCAATTGAACGTCCTTCTCTTCTCCCCCAGGCTACAAGGCAATGTTTCTTGGATTTTCTATAAATAATCACAGTCATGATTTATTCGGCATGCCTATCATTTCTTCTCCTCTCCTCTCCTAGCGTCTTCTTTCTTATCCTCTCCTCTTCTCTTCTGACCTCTTCTCTTCTCTCCTTTCCTCTCATCTCTCACCTCTCTCTCTCCTCTCCTTTCCACAAGCCAGTTACATTCTTCGAAGAACAAAAAAACAACTTGAATATGCTTGAATCTTTTCTTCTAACACTTGGCTTCCTGTTTCTCTCTCCCTCCAGGATCCCTCTGTCTCTCTCCTCCTTCACGATAAGCTTCAGGTGCCCAACAGTTCTCGGCGGGCGTGGAACGAGCGTGACAGTCGCTGTGATGTCTGCGGCACTCACCTTACTCAGCTCAAACAGGAAGCTGTGCGCATGGTCCTCACTCTCGACCAGTGGGATTTGTCCCCCCCCTCTTCCCCTTCGGCCCTCATCGGACGCTATGGACCACCGGGTCCTATGGGAGCATCCGGGGGTCCTGGGTCACGGGACTGGATTCCTCCTTTCCTCCCTTCTTCCTCCTCCTCCTCCTCCTCCTCAGCCGCTGCTGCCATCTCACACCCGTCCTCCCAGTCTCCTTCCCCAAGCCCCAGCCAGACCCCAACGCCAAGCCCCAGCCACGGACTATCCAACCCCAGCCATGGGAGCCCCTCTGTGGGGCAAACATCCGGCTGTGCTCCCACAAACCAACAACCTCAAGGCCAAGGGCACAGACTGGGGTCTAAACCCAGCTCCCTGGGGCTTGGTGGTGGGGGGGACAGAAGGGTTGGTTCCCCCAGTTTGGGAAAGTCTGTTGCCCAACAGCAACCAGTGACTGGAGTAAACAGCCCCGGCCATAATAGCGGAGCAGTCCTGAGCACAGCAGCTCTGCAGGCCCATCAGCACCTGACCCGCACCAATGGAGGAGTTACACTCTATCCCTACCAGGTAAGATTCTCTCAGAAGTGTCTGTGAGGTGTGCAAATATTACCATAGACATTGAATACATTAACTCTGGTCTTGCTGAATATAATAATTGGTAACAGGCTACCAACATGCAAATTAAAACATCTCCTGATATGAATTTGTCAGTGAGGACAGGAACTGCAGCGTTTCAATTTTCCAACTTGTAGGTACAGCTGCCTTTTGTGGCGTGAGCTTTTTATTCATCAACCACTGACCATGACTTGTGAGATTATGTTTTCAACACAAGCAAATACAGTCCCTCTACTCTATTATCCTGCAGAGTAGCAAGGCAAAAATACTGCCATATTGTGCTTCTTAAAGCAACCAAAAACATGTTTTATTTGTATCTTGCAGGAGTCAATTTATAGGCCTTGGGGGGTTTGTTCCTATCAAATGAGACCTTTACGAGGACACAATAATCATCTCAGAATGTAATAAGCATCTCTTAGTGGGAAGCTAAATATCCTCTTCAACAGATTAGAGGCAAGATGTAAAGTTTGAAGTTAATACGACGCAAACATGCAAAAGGGAGTGGAATTGAAATTGTAGATAAAAGAAGAGGTTTTAGGAGGAGACAGGAAGAGAGGGTTCACATGAGAGGAAGATGATAGGAGGAAGAAAAGCAAACGCCTCAGGAGACGTGTGGTCGAGAGGTACGGGGGGAGAGCTGAGACTGCAGGGGAGATCCAGAGGTGTGTGTGAGTGTGTGTGTGTGTGTGTGTGTGTGTGTGTGTGTGTGTGTGTGTGTGTGTGTGTGTGTGTGTGTGTGTGTGTGTGTGTGTGTGTGTGTGTGTGTGTGTGTGTGTGTGTGTGTGTGTGTGTGTGTGTGTGTGGGGGGGGGGGGTGAACGTGTTCTACAGATGTAATAATTCATACAGTGATAATTAGAACTCAGGGGACTCTATGTCACACACCCCCGGTACCCCTTCACTCTTTCACTCTTATTCACTCTCTCTCTCTCTCTCTCTCTCTCTCACACACACAAACACACAAACTCTACTTATTCCTTATCCCTCTTTCTCCCTTCCTCCCCTATTATTTCTCCCATCGTTCTCACACTTTGGCTGTTTGATATTCACCTCCTCTTCTCTTCATCTTGCTGTTTCCCCATCTCTCTCTTTATATTTGTATTCAGCTCATGACTAGGATCAGATGCAGAGATTTGGAGTTGGAGGTGGAAATTATTTTGTACAATCTCTGGAATGGTTTTGTTATCTTGTCATACTGGTCAGAAATAAATTAGGCAGAAGAGCTTTCATGCATTCTGGCCTGTCTGAAAATAAAGTGAAGGCACTCAAATTAATTGGACGATTAGGAATGATTATTTCTCCTTCTGTTATTGTATTCTAAAACTAATAATTTCTACTTTGTTTTTTGTTTGCAACATACATGAGCGTGTTGATTTCGTTTTTATTTCCCTTAAAACAAGATTATATTATTCATGTTTCCTTTGATATTGACTTTTATAATATCACATTGTTTAGAGGAAAACATACGAAGTACGCTTCCTTTTTACCCTCAACTAATATATATATGTGTGTTGTTTGTCAGCATTTGTGTGCAAGTGTGTATGGGTGCAAAAAGGCGCTATTCTGTGTATTCAATAATGAATGTGAACGCTGTGTTCTGTGTTTGAGTTTGTATATGGGATAGGAGGTGTTCAAATGTTAGAGAGTCTGAGTGTTTGTACTGTGACTTTGACAGTAATGGTGTTTCAGCAGGAAAGGAGAAACAGAGCAGGATAATAAATCACCCTCATTTAGACTCACCCCTGAGAGAGGAAGAGAAGGAGGAGGAGCTGAGCAGAGAGATGATAAAAGAAATGGGAATGAAAGTAGGATTGAGAAAATGGAAAGATAGAGAGATGTGGGCAGAGACGGTTAGAGAGATGGGTTAAGAATAAGAGACATGTTGTTATAGACTTCAGTGTATAGACAGATTGCATATCAACCTCAACACTGTATGTCATTATTTGCCACAGAATTGGATTGTGTTACTGTGCTGCTGCTTCACTGCAGTACAGCAACACATCAAAGATTGCTGCTCCTTGTGTAGTAACAGTGGAGCTTTCAGAAAGTCTTCTAATGGCAGATGAGAATATCCTCCAACATATTCACGCTCTTCAGTGAAGTTAAAGAGAAATCAAACACATGTGAATGACAGCGGGGAAAATGAAAAGGGTCTGAGTTTAAAACTATGCAGCCAGGATCAGTGTATTTTTGGTGAAATGTAGTCTTAATCTTTAGAAAAACTTCAAAGGAGCATCTTGTTATCTGAGTGGATTCACTGCATGATATTTAACGCCAAAGTCCGGGGGGAAATACCAGCCTTTGGTCGTTTGTAGCTTGCTCTCCTTCTCCTACACTGTCCTAGCAGACAGGCGAAAATTCCCACAACATTTTTTTAAACAACTATTAACAGCAAAATGAGTAAAGTCTTATTTGAATTAATAACTTTCAATGACAAATGACCAATAAAGTCATTATAGCACAACGACAGACAGGGAGTAGCGCTGAGAGAAAGGAGGACTCAGAGGTAGACACTGAAAGAAGCAGCCTGTCTGCCGTGTAGCGGACATTAAAATCTTGCTGGGTCAGCAATCTGAGGCGTGACAACCTCCACATTTTATATTTATTAGTACTTTTCTTTAAGGTCCCACAAGAAGTATAGGACAAATGGAAAATGCTGAATCAGTCGGAACAAGGATGACTGATTATAACGGACCAAGTGTGAATCTGCCACTGGGACCAGTGAGCTGATAAAAAAGCTTACCTACTTTAACTGGCTGTCACAGACATATCAAGGTTCAAGGGTTCATTGTATACCTTATGTTCTCCATATACAATACTCATTACACAAATAAAAGTATGTGCTTTTCTAAAGTGTATTACATAATAACAAATCTATATACAAAACACGTATAAGCACTAAACACAATGGACCACAGATTTGAATGCCACAGAAGTGCATACGGAAATGTGTAAACCTGGAAAGTCTGATTGGCTTTTTAGAATAATTTCCCATTTTAATTTATTTAAGTTCCAGCTGGTTCACCAATGGTTATTACTTCAGTCCAGTTACTGACTAACATGCTGGTAAACGTAATCCAAAGGTTCAGGCTTCCAAACTACTAGGTGATGTCAGACAGCGGTGTGCTCAGTAATTTAAGGGCCTTTAATTTGCTCCAAGAAACACCATAATCTTTTCTTTTGTAAAACACTTAACTCTGTCACAGTTGCCATTAGTTTATCTTTGAGCAGTGTTGTGTGTGTGTCACTCTCTCTTTCTCTCCCCTTTTCTTCCTGGCATGAGAAAACAAAACAAACATTGTCTCTTTGCCCTCGCTCTGTCCTTCATGCAGCTAATTGAAAACAGGTTTATACAGTATCAAGTGTGCCTGTGAGTGTGTGTGCTTTGCCTGAGTGTACAACATGCACACACAGACACACACACGCATGCACACGCGCACACACAAACACAAACACACACACACACATACATACATACAAACGTTCAGAACCAGTTGTGATTAAAAGGTTGGAGAAGGTTGTGACTGGAAGGACATAACCAACTTGACTAGCAAGCCAAACTCAGAAAAAACCCATTTGTTTCCAGTAATTACACCAGCCGAGGTCACCTTGAGTTCCTCTATAAAGAGCAGTGCACATGCTCAGTTGGCAACAGAGAGCAGCATAACTTTGTTCAATAAAAGTATGCTGATGAAGGCATACAGGCTTAGCTAACCGCCTTAGGAAATGTAATGTGTATTCTGTATTATTCTTTTTATCATGAGAGTGTCAGAAAGCATGTCTTATTATCTCTACCATTACATACATTCTACTGCAAAGTGAATGTACATAAAACCACATTTCTTCCTGTCATTACATTCTCCTTTATTTTCTGATTTGATTATACAACATACTGTACATATGTGTATAAATAGAGTTGCATATAGTAACTTTTCACTTTCTCTGTCTTTTTTTCCCTTTCTCTTACCGACATACTCCATGTTTCTGTAATGTTATCTCTAGTGTAGACTAAATAAACACCCGGTTCCATTCTCTAACTTATTTTGTTTGTGTGTGTGTGTCTCTACCCATGTTCTCCCCCACTTTTATCCTGAAAGGGCAGTCTCTCTCCCTCTCCCTGCACTCTACTGCAGTAAGCATTTAGATTGTTTTACAGATTGTGTCTATCCCCCAGATAAAAGCAGGCAGGACCACACACACACACACACACAGACACACCGTTTATCTTTTCACCCTCCTCACACAAGCCTGATATGTAAGGCACAAACTCCATGTTGGCTGCGGGTAGCATGTAGTTGTAAAAAAGATGGGAAAATAAAATAAATGTAGGAGTGACAGATGAGTAAGGTGAATGCTGGGGAAATGGCGTTAGTGTTGTGATGAAGATGAATGAGCTAGCTTTTACCTTTCTCTAAGAGCAGAGAGATGAGGGTGGAAAATATGCTGTAGTGTAGAGAAAGAGGAGGACTGAGAGTGACAGAGTAAGTGTTGCGGTGATTTTTTTCATCCCTTCTTTCTGGGGAAATCTGATATCACATTTATCAAAGTCCATCATTGACAGGTTCAATCTCAGCACCAGGTGTAAAAACAAATGCTGTGATTTCATTGATCTGCATGATTTTCAACACATTTGGCGTATTATCCTCTCTGTCCTGGTAATATCTATACCCTCGTGCTTCCTGCTGCAATGACCTAATATCCCCAAGGGTATCATTAAAGTTTCAACCAGAGTAATTTAAATCTAATTTATGGTAAAATGTAGAGAGAGCATTGCACTCTGTATTGCCTTTGGGAAAATCTGAATGGAACAAGTGTAACGATCTCTAAAGAACAAACAGGAACGACACAAACATAATTCATTTTAAAACATTGCCCAAAATGCTATTCATGTCAATGTATTAGCCAGGTGCTCATGCAGGTATGTGGTCTAAGCAGGAAATATCACGCAGTCGATCCATTTTCTATGTGCAGTAGTTCAGATGCAGAACTCATTTGACAGCTCTCTTACAATAGCTGGTTTTAATGAGATGCATGAAGCATAATTACCACATCAGCACCACACAGAAAGCACAGCAAAGCTTCTGGAACATCATAAAAGAATGAGATGGATGAGGATATGGTTATTAGACCTTTTTGGTGACAATGGTATGCGAAGCTGAGTAAAACATGTGCAGCCCCTGTGGTCTGAAATGCTGACCACCACAAATTATTCATCCACCTTTACTCCAGTTTTCAGCTTACATTATAATAACCCTCTGTGGGGACATTTCCCCTACACCATGCTGGTATTTTTCCTCTTCCCATTATCAGGATAAATGAGTAACCAGTGGAAATGTGCAGGTAATCCATGTAGCTCACTGAACCCTTGTTCCATAGCGCAGCGAGTCCTTTAATGATGCAGGGGTAGCAGGCCAACCCCGAGCATTTGAAATGCATGTAGGTGCACAGGGAGAATGGTATATAAACTATAGAGGCATCTAATTTACAACAGGTAATTTATCAAGGCAGTGGGCTGCTGTCTGGCCCCCAGAAGCCCTCAGCAGTAAATATATAGGCACAGTGGGGCTGATTTACACACGCATACACACAGGTGCAGACACTGTCATTCACACAGAAGGACACGCACAGACATCCTCACAATAGACATGCATGCTCACAGATTTACTCACAGAAGCTTTATTTCCTTTATTGGAGCATGGGGTACAAATTTATTTGCTCTGCTGTGTGGCTGCAGCACATAAAGAACTATAATCAATAATCCATATCTAGTTCAGGAATGGGTCGCCTATATATTCATGCACACACGTTTATACATGCACATACACATACACTCATTTGTTCATAAAGGAGTAACAAAACTGATTTTGTTCATATTGACCAGAGGAAGAGATAAAGAGATTTGGGACAAACGTATATGTTTGCTCCAAGGATGTACAGTATATGAATGTAACTATTTGGTCTTATGTCTTATATTCCTATGGACACAGATGAATAACGGGGGTCCAGTGGCGGAGTGGCTAAAGCACATACCATATAATGGCAACATTCAACTTCCCCCAGGGACTTTAAAGTCATATCCTTCTTCCTTTCTCCACATGTTCAGCCGTTATCTTGCTTTCCAATAAAGGAAATGTGCCCCCCAAAGAATGAAGAGAAAAGATAGCTATATAGATGCATCCATACAAAGTTGTTGTGTATATACTGTAAATCTGATGAAACAATAACTCCTCAAGGAGCGGCCAATTTAATTTCTTTACAGTGTTATAAGTTCAAAGTTCTCTCTCTCTTCGTCCTAAAATCTAATAAGGACAAAAAAGGCCTGAAGGATGATCCAATAATAAAGGACGAATGTGAATATCTTAAAATGGCAGAGCAATAGGCCGAAGAGAAGGACATTTAAACAGTTACAGTAGAGGTAATGATAAAAACAAATAACATGTGAAATAGAAGTGACGGTGAAAGAGAAGGAGGAGGCGTTAGGTTAAGTGAGAGGAGGATGTGTTTGTTTGTTGTCTTTCTATGTGGACTCAGACAGCCTTCTGCTGCTGGTTCATTGTGATCACTAGAGGGCTTATCTGTCTGTTGTCTGCCACACACACACACACACACACACACACACACACACACACACACACACACACACACACACACACACACACACACACACACACACACACACACACACACACACACACACACACACACACACACACACACACACACACACACACACACACACGGTAATCCTTTGGTGCGTTGTGGTGGATGTTTGGCTCCAGAAAGATTTCACCAAATTCCAAAATATCTTTCAAAAAGCTTGCAAAATCCTCCTTTGTATAAAACTGTACGAGAAGTCTTTTAGAACTTTAACTCAACAGTTTCTTCTCCAAAAGGGTTTCCCTTGAAGTCAGAATTTGACAGTGTTGCATGTTGTTTGAGAGATATTTTGGAAGTTGTTGAACTCTTTCTGAAGCCAAAAATCCACCACAATGCACAAATGGATGGACATGTATTCAGACAAGGACATAAATACAACGCTGTATACTCTTGTGTGTATGCTTTCTTTAAATGGTTATGAAGAATATTGATGTAGTTAGTATGATTAAGCGTTTATTTTGCTTTTTGTCTTTCTTCTTTTAAGTGGATCAAATGAGATCCAGCTAGCTAATGAGACCTCAAGAGTAAATATTTAAAACATCTCTCTGTCTTTCGTCAGATCTCCCAGATGATCTCTGAGGACTCCAGAGAAGGTTTGACCGAGGCTGCCCTGAACCGCTACAACACAAACTCTCCTTCACACACAAACTCTCCTTCACACACAAACTCTCCCTCTCACACGAACTCTCCCTCTCACACGGCGTCTGTAACCGTGGCAGCGCCGACCACCACCTCTGCTGCTGCCTCCTTCTTCGCCAGGTAAGAACATGCACCACCAAATATCAGCCGACTTCCTGCTTTATCTGGTATCTCCACACAGCGTCAGCATGCTGTTTTTTTATTTGGAAAACATTCCTATATTTATTTAGATTGAATAATTATAGGTTTATGTGAATTAGCATCCTACACTTCTCGTATTTGTCTTTGACTTATATATAACCAGATACATTTCACCTTTTTTAGGGTTTAGCAACATTGTAGGAGTAGATAGAAACATCAGTATTACAGAGAATGCTAGGCATGATATCAGTACAAAACAAAGGGTGTGAGATGCATCTTACCTGCTCATTTGTGTCAGAATAATCTTTGGGTTTAGTTGATCATCGGTTTAAGTCCAAACATGTCCTGGCTGTTATGCTGATGTCTCATATTTTTTCTGAAAGAGCTGAAAAAATAGCCATAAAAAAGAAAAATGCATTGTCAAATGTTCTCAGATGAAAATGGTAAATATGCAAAAGTGTACTTACTTGTCTTTGGCTGTTTTTATTTATAAATCAACTATCCAGTCAGCGGTCGTCAATGAGCCATGTAAACAAATCTAGAGAAATGCATAGCGAAACACAACATAAATAAGACACGGGTAATCTGGGTAAATTATTGATGAATAAACATGGCAAGCTCAAAATGAACGGGTAAATTATTCATGGGTAACACAAGAATATGAGTATGTCATGGTGTCTGAAATATTGCTGAGTTGTCGTATCTAATGAGATACTTTAAAGGGGACCTATCATGCAAAATGCACTTTTGTACGTCTTTTATACATGAATATGTGTCCCCGGTGTTCCAGGGAACTCACCAAGTGTCAGAAAACACAACCCTCTCTATTTTCCTCCATAACCAAATCTCTAAAAAAGGGGCTGCAACGGATCTGATAAAAACTGATCCAGATTTGAACACTGTCCTGACGTCAGGACGGTGGCGCTACGGCTATTGGGCCAACTCCACCAATCAGGAGGAGACAGCCACGACCATTGCCGTTCGAAAGCGCTGGAGACGCTGTAGTACATATGCCAGGCCTGTAGGTGGCGCTGTTCTCACAGAATCAGCCCTTGCAAAAACAGGGCTAAAAAAGTGCAAATTGAGTGAAATGAGGCATGGCTAAAATGCATGATCTGTTTGGTATTTTGAAAAAAAAAAAGTATAAATATGCCTTATATAGGTATGGTCCTACACTATTTTATTCAAATATAGCATGATAGGTCCACTTTAAATCACATTTTGAATGATACTGATGCTTTTCCTTATCACTTTCACAAGTCTTTTCTCTTCTCCATCCCATCTTCCACATCTCCTGCTGTGCACATTCCTGTGTTTTCATTGTGTGTGTTTTGAAATCTGTAGATAAATGTAATGTGTTTTTGTCTGTGTCTGAGACATGAGTGAGGTGCATCAGTTTGGCAGACATAGTGCCGTCTGTCTTTCTAAGCACCCGTGTCCAGGCATAACTCGTCAATTATATGAAAACGCACGCAACACATGTGCACACACTCTTTCTTTAGCTTTCTTTCTCTGACCCCCTGAACTGTCAGGTAACAAGGCCGTTTTACTCAAACACACACACACACACACACACACACACACACACACACACACACACACACACACACACACACACACACACACACACACACACACACACACACACACACACACACACACACACACACACACACACACACACACATCTGGCTGACATTCCATACATACAGCCAGCTGTCTTTCGGCAAATTCATGACCATTCACCTTCTGAGTGAAGGAACAGGGTTTGTTTAATGGTGCAGGTGTCACTGTCTGTGGATATGTTTGGGTGTGAGTGTGTGTGTAGCTTTCAGACTCTCTCTTCCATTTACTGTAAGCATGTATATTAACTTAGATTGCTTTATATAAATTCCTCTTAAAATCGAGGGGCATATTGTTTGTTAGTTCAGTTTGCTTTTCAACACTTCACATACAAACATGCATAATTTGTCTGTGCATTTGTCTGTCTGTGTCTGTCTGTGTGTGTGTGTGTGTGTGTGTGTGTGTGTGTGTGTGTGTGTGTGTGTGTGGTGTGTGTGTGTGTGTGTGTGTGTGTGTGTGTGTGTGTGTGTGTGTGTGTGTGTGTGTGTGTGTGTGTGTGTGTGTGTGTGTGTGTGTGTGTGTGTGTGTGTGTGTGTGTGTGTGTGTGCTTGTATAGTAGGATTTCAGTTTAATTGGCAAAAGGCAACAGTGTACACTCTGTCACCTTTTATGTTTGACTCTTGTAATGTGTGTACATGTGTGTATTTGGCTGATGAATGCAGCCATGCAGTGCTGGTGAAATCCCCCTGGCTCTCTTGGTCTTTACTCTCAGACGTGGACCGCATACAGACATTCTTATTATACACACACACTCACAATATCCTTCTTGCTCACTGTCTGCCCAAAGCAAAATCCCTGTGTCCACCCCATCTCCTCTCACCTGATCCCTTTCCTCCTCCACTTCCTCCACTTTATATCCCTTCTCTCGTCTTCATGTAATTGCTTTCTGTTTTGCCTCTCTACTTTCCTGCACCTTTCCGACAATTTCTCCTTCTCTACACTGACCTTTTCTTTACCTCAGCTAATGTGCATGAGAGTAATATCTTTCATTAGTACCAATCTGTCTGGGAATATGTCACACTCACACTGTAGCGCTCCATTTTCCCTGGGCTGCAGTGGCCCCCTGGGGACGCTGGCTAGAGGATAGAGACATGCTGTACATGCTTAGGTGCGTGTGTGTGTGTGTGTGTGTGTGTGTGTGTGTGTGTGTGTGTGTGTGTGTGTGTGTGTGTGTGTGTGTGTGTGTGTGTGTGTGTGTGTGTGTGTGTGTGTGTGTGTGTGTGTGTGTGTGCGTGTGTGTGTGTGTGTGTGTGTGTGTGTGTGCACTCTCCCTCACTGGGGGAAGGGACTTTCTATCAGTGAAGGAATTTTTTACTGCATGCTCCATGGAGCGGCTCTTTGGGGATTTGGCTGTTGTGTGACTATGTGTGTGTGTGTGTGTGTGTGTGTGTGTGTGTGTGTGTGTGTGTGTGTGTGTGTGTGTGTGTGTGTGTGTGTGTGTGTGTGTGTGTGTGTGTGTGTGTGTGTGTGTGTGTGTGTGTGTGTGTGTGTGTTGCTCGAGGTAGCAGAGTAAATGAATAGGTCCCCAGTGAATTGGTGAATTGGGAAGGCGTTGTTATTTTGGATGGAAATGGGGGAATGCTGTCTCTTTCTCTGCATCTGTTTACCTCTCGCTTTATCTCTTTTCTTTCCTTTACCAGAGGTATTCCATCAAATGATAATTGGCCACCAATTATGCTCCACTCACATTGGTTGTGTTTGATTGATGATTTAAATATCAACCGCCTTGTCACATCAGAGCCAGGTATGAATAAAAAAGCCCTCATCTGGATTTGAAAAAGCCCTTAGAAACAAATCAATAAGCCCTTTAAGATTTGTTTTTTTGGTTTTGCTCATTAAACAGTAATTATATTTGTTTATTGTGACATTGAAGATGAACATAATTTGTTCTTCTTCTTACTGTTGTCATTATTAGAGAGAGGCATGAAAGAATAGTTTTACATTTCCTATCCATTCTATATTTCTCAAACTCTCTCAAAATGTTTTTATCAAATTATGTTTAGGCTCTTTAGAAATTGTTTAACACATCAGACAAAGGGTCTAGGATATGATGCTGTAAAAACACACTATAACTTACATTAACACGCAACAACATGCAATATGTTTATAAGAGTATACATGAGCAAGCAGGGTGATATCGGCATCATCACTATGTTGAACACAGCAATACATTAATATTTCAGTGCTTGTGTTCAAATATAACTCGGAGACGGACAATATCACATTTTCAATACACAATTTTATGGGTAAAAAGGATTCACAATAACAATATAATCGCAGCATCTATTTATAAATTGATTAAAATAATGCAATCAGTCATATCCATTTTTAACTTTGTTTATTGTGCATTTCGTCTTAAAACCTAACAACTAGACTATTTAAACAATTCCTTCATCATTTGTGTATTTTCAAGATGATTAAAATCTTCTCTTTTTTTTAAACATGGTTGTCGCCAATACTCATATTTCGCGACATTACCTACTATAGCATGAGGGTAGTTTCTTAATCTGCAGCAGGAAGTGTGTAAATTGGAAGCTATATATATACATGTCGATTCAAAATAGTGTCAGTAAATCCGGTCTTCTGTCCATGCCAGCTTTTTGACCCCTACAACACACACAAACACACACACACACACACACACACACACACACACACACACACACACACACACACACACACACACACACACACACACACACACACACACACACACACACACACACACACACAACACACACACACACACACACACTTAGCTCTCTGTCCCTCCCTATATCTCCCTCCACTGATGGCCTGTTAAATAGAATTTAATTAGCTACTGGGCCAGCGACACAGCCCAGAGACACAAGTCATAAATCAACTGTGTGTGTTTGTGTGTTGCAAGTGAGTCTTTGTATGTGGGCCAACTGAGAGTGTTGGTAGTTGTGTTGAAGGAGGAGGAAAACAACGCAGCAGCATGTTAGTAGTCAGCCTATCTGTGACCTGTGCTGCTTTTTAACAAGAGAGACACATGAAGGGACTTAAGGGAAGATGGCGAGGATGGATGGAGGGATCAATACGTGTAAGGACGGCTGAATGGATGGCGGGATGGACGGGTGGATATATGGGCAGAGAAGAAGGCAAAGGATGAAAGGATCAAAATAATGAGAGGGATAAAATAGAGAGGAAAGATAAGGGGATGATTGTATTGAGAGGGATTTAAAAAAAGAAGGAGTAGGAGGGAAGTGAAGGATGGTGGAGAGTGGAGGAATGGATGAAGGTAATGGAGAAAAGAAGGGGGCAAATTAGGATGGGGGTGTGAGAGGAAGAGCTGATGGATGTAGAGATGGAGTAGATGGATGACAAACAAGCACTCTTCAATTTAGGGTTAGATTGGAATAGATCCACTTGGCCAAATCCCAGGCCACTTGTCATTAAACGCTACCAATTAAGTCGTGTGTGTGTGTGTGTGTGCGTGTGCGCGTGCGTGTGCGTGTGTGTGTGTGTGTGTGTGTGTGTGTGTGTGTGTGTGCTAGTCTGTCCACCATGCTTGAATTGTGCCATAGATTAAACCAGTCAAGGAGAGAGTACATAATAAGAGGGTAATATTACATACACATTAGAATAGATACACATTACTAAATTGTTGTGGTTGATGGATTTGAAGGGTCTATTCTTAAAACAATCACAAAATAATGTAATACATGTTTTGTTTAGAAAGCTAGTAAAAATCTCCCGCAGCTGAGTAATGGTGCGTGAATCCATTAAAGCCAGTTCTTTCCATCTGTACATCATAACTATTTAACTCAAGCACATCTTTCTAAAACAAGATCCTCTTGTGACTTGCTATGGAGAAAAGGAAAGCCACAGTTATGATTGATACCATAATTATTTTTAGGATGGATTTTCTTTTCTTTTTTTTAAATCTAATGCACATGTATGCTTCATGGGAGGTTTTTCAGCAATCAAGTCATACAATGAGAAACCCCTTAATTGCTTCTGATCACATTCGCTGCAATATGTATGGCAGCGTGGCTTTCACACAATGAGAAACCAATTAGTGGTCTCATTGTGGGGCTTTGTTTCATACAGTATGCACACACACACATCCGCACAGTCACAAACATACTCCTGCACATACAAATTCACACACAATTCTCCAGGGAGAGCTAGTCAAATGGTGAAACGCTTCGTCGTTCTCCGGGTCACTGGATCCACATCTGTCCCCCCCTCTCTTCTATCTCTCTCTCCCTCTCTCCCCCTCTCCCTCTCATTTCTGTAACCTGCTGCAGTTAATTGAAAGCCAATGGTGTGAGAATATGGCTCTTTGACTGAGAGCGTGTCAGGCCGCAAGGTCTCCTCTCTCTCTCTTTGGCTCTCTTATAATCATAGATATATGAGAGAATAGATTAAAGCAGAACAGAGCAGAGATCCCTTCCAGAGACGTTTTGGAGCTCTTGTATTTCATAGTATCGTTAACTGCTGCTCTGTGAATATCAGTTTGTCAGTAAATCTGCTTGTTTTAATTGCAGCTTCATAAATTCAAAAAGGAAAAACACTGACGCATACGAACATTGTTTACTGATGACAATAAATCACGTACTGTGAATTACCGTCTGCAGATTTACTATCCTTGGGTTCTCCCGGGATCCCTCTCACTTAACCTTTCCTCGTCTTTGTGCACAGCCATGTCCAGGGAGAGTTATTGTATTGATGCTTCGAACAAAAACTAAATAAAGTATAATTAACTATACATCTATACACCTTATTATCTATATATGATATACTACTCATCCTCTACTAGACCTCTGTGCACTAGCTCTGTTGTGTATTTATGACAATGATTAAGGGTATTCAATACAAACATAATTATTCACATGATAAGCAAACGTGCACAGGGAAAAGCTTTATCTTTGGCAAAACTGTTAGTGAGAAAACTGTAGAGCTCAATTATGTTTGTATTTACTATATGTATCATGATTTGAAGAGATGCATCAACGTATACAGTAAGTAGCATTTTACTTCTTACTTTATTTGCATTTAGCTAGATTAGTCCAGTTGTTCTATAGGTGAGACAATAATGTGAGATCTAATCTTTTTGTGAAATACTGGAGAATTGTCTCTTTTATAACTTAGATGTGACAACTCTACAGTGCTGCTTTGCAACAGGCCAATCACATCCAACATTGGGAACCACCTGTTTGATTTAACACAATGCATTGTATTTAATGATTGATTGAAACATTGATTGATTGATCTAAAACAACGCATTGTATTTAATGAAGGTAAGAAACATAACATCTTTAAAGGTAGGGTAGGTAAGTTTGAGAAACCGGCTCGAGATACACTTTTTGTTATATTCCATGGAATGCTCTTAACATCCCGATAGCAATGAATATCTTAAGTGCTTTGACAAAAAATCCATAAAAAAATGTCATCTCTGGAAGCCGTAGTGTTGGAGGAGGGGCTCTATAAGGAAGTGGCAGATTTTCTCCGGTTGTGTATTTTCAAATTCTAGCGATCTCGAGCCGGTTTCTCAAACTTACCTACCCTACCTTTAACTCAAAAGTAACTATGAAGGTCAGATAAATGTGGAGTAAAACATGCAATATTTCACTATAGTAGTATTATCGTAAAATGGAAATATTCCATTAAAGTACAAGTACCAGAAAAGATTATTTACTGTAAGTACAGGACTTAAGTGAATGTACTTGTTCCACCACTGGTGCTTGGTAATACCTATCTCCTCTCTCAACTCATTTCATGTAGGCTGAATCATAAATTCAGTCTGTTATATGGAGATGTGGTGTTTCTGCTGCAAACAAAGAAAGGGTTATAAAAGGGAGGAGAAAAAGTAAGAGACTAAATACGCGTTGTGCAGCGAGAGGCAGACAGGAAGAACCTGCGGTGTTGAAGTAAGAAATGAAAGCGCGAGGAGAACGGGAAGAGAAAGAAGTGAGATTGAGAAGTTTGGAAGTTCAAGTTAAAAGAAGTGAGCGAATGAGGAGAATCTGAGTGCAGAAGAGATGGAGAGTATATATAAATATCATTTCTGGTGAATCTTTTTGAGCTGAATGCTGTGGGGAATTGAGCGGCAAGAAAGCAAATGAACCACTCCCCTTCCAGATGTTACTACATGTGTAAACAGCAGCGTGTGTGTGTGTGTGTGTGTGTGTGTGTGTGTGTGTGTGTGTGTGTGTGTGTGTGTGTGTGTGTGTGTGTGTGTGTGTGTGTGTGTGTGTGTGTGTGTGTGTGTGTGTGTGTGTGTGTGTGTGTGTGTGTGGAAGGGTGTGTTCTAGAGCTCCATCTGCAATTACCATATTTGCCATGGTTTTTATTTTGCAGACTATAAGGATGTCATTATAGCCACATCTGTGCACCATCCTGTCCTCCCTTATCTGTATACAGTATTTCCTCATTTATGATTGTGTGTGTTAACAATATTTTTGTTACAGTGATAGAGTGTAAAGTTTTAACGATGAATTTAACTGATGGCCTGACTTATCTCCTTTCCTCTTTCTCTCTGCTTCCCTCTCTCAGAGCTGCACAAAAGTTGAACTTAGCGTCCAAGAAGAAGAAGCAGAAGACCACCGCAGTTACAGCCCCAGTGACATCATCAACGCCGTCATGTGACCCCCCTCTGTTCCCCACCAACTTTAGCTCCGCCTTGTTGATGGCCCCCCCGCCGGCTCCACCCTGCCTTCTGCGTGCAGCCAACAAGATCAAAGATACCCCTGGACTGGGAAAGGTAAAGAAAAATAACTTAAAGGTCACCTATTATGCAAAATGAACTTTTTCATGTCTTTTATACATAAACATGTGTCCCCCTCTGTGTAAAGAGATTCTGAAAGTTTCAGGAAAAAACATTCTCTCACTTTTTGTCCTGATCCATTTATATAAACCCCCCCCCCCCCCCCCCCCCCCCCCTTTTTAATCCATGCAGATAAGCATCAACAACTGTCCAAATACACCTGTGTCCATTTTTCAGAAGATAATGTTTGCTGTGTTTGTTCATCCCGGAGAGTGTCATTTAATTCGCTTAATCTCTATCCGTGGAAGTTGGGTTGATTTAGTCCTTTTCATATGAGAAGTTGACAGGAAGTTGTGTGTTAAATGTTTTGTGACGATCTGTTGCTTTTAGTTTTGGATGGCTATAGTAGCAGCTTTTAATGTGTGATTGATGCCGTGTCCTTGTGATGAATGTAGTTGTATTGCTTGATTTTAATTAGACTTTTTATCTTATCTTTTTTACCTCTGTAAAGCGTCTTTGAGCACCTGATAAAGCACTTGATAAATCAAATGTATTATTATTATTATATATACATTTTGATTATTATTTTTATTTAGAATAAATATAAAAAGTTCAGGTTTCAGTTACAGCATGTTGTTGGAGATTTGGTTTTTATGCACTGGAATTTGCAAAAATATTGATCTGTAGTACTCTATCATGACCTTGGGCCGGTTTATCTAAATGTATACTGGTGTGTGTGATCGTGTGTGTGATCGTGTGTGTGATCGTTTGTGTGTGTCCACCCTGCTGTACCATACAGGAATGCAGCCTAATGGTTACCACGGTAACACATCTCAGGCTGACAAAAGTCATCTGTCACTGTTGCCGATGGTTGATGAAACGTGTGTGTGTGTGTGTGTGTGTGTGTGTGTGTGTGTGTGTGTGTGTGTGTGTGTGTGTGTGTGTGTGTGTGTGTGTGTGTGTGTGTGTGTGTGTGTGTGTGTTCGGGATGTGGGGGGGTTTCATGCTTCTCAAGTGTGTGCAATATTGATCGTCCATGTAATGAGTTTTTAGTGCCCCCTCCTCCACAGTTTGAGTGAGAGGCTCACTGATTCTGTATGAGTGTGTGTGTGTGTGTGTGTGTGTGTGTGTGTGTGTGTGTGTGTGTGTGTGTGTGTGTGTGTGTGTGTGTGTGTGTGTGTGTGTGTGTGTGTGTGTGTGTGTGTGTGTGTGTGTGTGTGTGTGTGTGTGTGTGTATGTGAGTGTGTGTGTGTCCTCACTGCTAGAAAAAGAATGACTGTGGAGGACAAAATCAAGCAGACATCAAACAGCCAAGTCCATTACTGTAGGAGAGGGGTCCCAGGCATAGTTTAGTAGTTTAGAGTATGAAACTGTGAGAGTGTTTGTCTAACTGTCTGTTTGTATTTGCATGAATGTGTGATGATGTTGGACAGGCAATAGTGAAGACAGACAGAATCAAGGTGAGAGAGAGAGGGGCTTGACATGCAACAAAAGCTTGAAGCATCCCAGGGGAGCTGCTGTTCTGTTGCTGTGCTCTAAATCATCGGTTACCAACCTTTTAATAAAGACGTGTCACATGTCACATGAAGTACACCGACTTTAACACCAGAGTCAGGTTCAAAATGTGTTCATTTTCATTTAACAATAACTAGATATTTTTCACAATATTTCCTACTATTGTTACAATATTTTAAGCTGGATGTTTAGATATTTCAACAAATGAATACATGGCTAACTTTTTATTTGTATGTTCATTATTTCTTAGCTTAATATTTAGACTTTTCTGCTACTTACTAACTATTTGTTCACAAATTGCAGCTGACTGAATATATGGATATTGTTAAATTGTAAAATTAATTATGTGTTTTTTTCTAATCGAAATGTTAATCTTATTTTAATAGTATCTTATCTAGTTACTAGTTACTTTCCAGTTAATGTTAAAAAATAAAAAATATAATCAGCAAATTAATAATGATATCAATATATCAATGAGACTTTATTGATACCCAGGAGAAATTCACAAGCTACAGAGACGTTAACAATAACATCAAACATATAATTACATGTAAATTAACCACAAATGTAAAAGTTGCAATTGACTAACTTTTGAAGTAAATTCCACACAGTCACAATGTCGGGGTTTAAGTTCTGACTCTTTTCTACTTGTTTCCCGTAATTGATGTGACTGTCCCCTGCCTCCCTTTAAATTAAAGTCATCCTCCACACTCCACCATTAAGAAGAGCTTTGATTTGAGAAAGAAAAATAACCAAATCTCAAATATTAATCAAAAGCTGTTGGATGCAGAGATAAAGCTAAACAAATGTAAATAAATGTGTCTTATGCCATATGTAGAAAGGCTTTTACATGAGAAACAGTTTCTATATCTAGTCTAGAAGTCTCTCGATAATATTAGGCTATGGTTTTTCATATTTTATTTGTCTTTTTTTTATCTGATTCTTTTGTGTTTTTATTTTTGCTTTGCTCCTCCGTTGGGTCTCTATCTCTTTTTCTCTCCATATGGAGGTGACAGATGTCCCCTCAGTTGTCAGGGAGACAGATTCACACCCACATATTTACAAGCGCACTCACACACACAGCAGCCAAAATATACTGACATTATTATACACCCCTACAGAGAAATCCCTTACAAGTATACAATACAAACCACACACACACACACAAGCCTTCTTCCCACAGTCTGTCTGTCTCTCAGTCTGGCTTCTGTTTCATCCCACTATGATCTCGTGTGATCTTGGGATGGCAGTGATTCGCTTGTCTGGCCCACGGTGCTGTGTACAAATGCCTGCTGCTACCTCTGTTTAATTACAACTGTCAGACATCCCTCTTTGCACAGTCATGTGGAAATCTCACAGTTAGAATTGTAGTATGATCTTTGATATGATGGATCTTTGATTAAGGTGTCCAGTCGTTCTAGATACTGACTCCTGCCTGCAGCCTGCCCATCATACATTAACTGTGAAATGGAGAAGAAAAACAATGTCTGAAACAAAGTTAGTTATTTGAATGCAGGTCATTGTTAAAGAAGGAGCTTCATCTTTTAAGGATGAAAGGATGGATACTTCTCTGTCCATTAAATATGAAGCTACAGCAAAAAAAGACTGTTAGGCTATTTTAACGTAGAGAAAAGGAAGGAAACGGTAAGTCTGGCTCATGGCCAAGAAATAGCCTGGCACTCAACCCCCTGCAAACAACAATTTGTTTTTACGCTTCAGTTTTTTGTACAGATTAAGCAAACAAGATTTAACATTTAAACTATGTGAATATTGGGATTGTGCTATCTTTGGACAGAGCAAGGCATTTCAATCTTTATGCAAATATAAGCTAAATTAACCATCTTTTTCAATTTTGATTGCTATTTTTTTAATTCCGTTTGACCAGTGTTTCTGACATGTTAACTTACATTACTGTGGTTTGAAAGACACAGGGGATAAAAGAAGGACAGGACATGGTACCAAGGCAGGAAAATATTCTGGTATTGGAAAAACAAGCCTGTCGAAAATCATTGATAAGCATGCCTAAGAAAAAAACAATATATATATATATCTATCTATATATATGCTCATCTCTCCTCTCTCTCTCCTTCTCTCTCTCTCTATCTATATATCTTCATCTCTCTCTCTCCTCTCTCCTCTCTCTTCTCTCTCTCTATCTCTCTATATCTATCTCTCTCTCTCTCTCTCTCACAACACACACACACCCACACATGTGCCAAAAAAAAAATGGGAAGGAAAATGGTTTTTCGGTGGAAATTCTCCCAGCTACAAATGTCACCTGCAGTGGGGGGGTCGGCCCCCTGTGCTGGAAATGGCATTTGCACACAGTCTCACCTCAAACACATACACTCATGCACACAGGCCTGCATGGATCACACATTTATAGGATTATAGTGTACAATGAAGGATGATCAAGGAAGCTTGCAAAGCCCCTGGTAGAGTGTGTACGAGACATCCCTCTGAATACATGGGCATGTCCGCGGGTGTGATGGGGGGTTAGTGTTCTCCCCCATGTTAATATGGCAGAAAACAGATTGAGACATCACATTTTAAGCCAGGGGAAATCAACCTGCACAGGTCAGATGTACTGCTGTGTGTGTGTGTGTGTGTGTTAGAGAGCGAGAAAGAGAGAGAGAGGGGGATAGGGATGTCGAATCAAATTGGTTCCCTCAGTGGACCTCTTTGACTGGCGTCTGTATCTCAAACTACCCTCTGTTATTTCTATACGCCGTTTTTCTCTACATGTGTTGTTGGTAAGCTCCGTTTCACTTTAATCAAATCAGCCAGCTGGGAGCCCTCCATTCAGACCCCTGACTGCTGGGGAGATTCGTATCAGTCGAGGAAATTAGGCTGAATACTGTATTATCACTTAGAAAACCAGTGGCAGAGTTGCACATAAATATAGCAGAAACTGCCAAGGACACATTTTTAAAGCTGCCTGATGATTAATAAACGTAAAACAAAATACTAAGGATGTCAAGTAATTCCATTAAATTGATCTACATTGGTAATTAACTACGCATCTTGTGTCGTTTAGCAGCAGTTGATATATGGACTAATGCTTGTATGGCTGCTAAGTTATGGAGGTATAATTCTTCCTCCATGCTCACACTGCAGGCACAGAAACTTTACAGCAAACACTTTATGGCTCGAATGATGGCAATGTCAGTCAGTCGGTACTGTACAGTAGGTCCACCACTGTGGTCCAGCCTGAATCATAACATCCAATACCTCAACAACTATTGGATGAATTATCATTTGGTACTGACATTCACGTTCCCCATTGGATTGGATAAATTGTAGCAACTTTGGTGATCCTTTTTTCATCTGGCATCATCATCATCATCAAATGTGTCTCATGCTTTATGACTAAATACCTCCAAAAGGTGATTGTAGGCAATGCATTTGTATTCCCTAAAAGAGGCAAGACTGTCGATTTCTCAGTCCGCTTGATTGAAATATTGGAGTATTTGATGCATTGA